AAAAAAACTCGCTGAAAGCGAATTTTAGCAATCAACACAACTTGACGTAGAGACATGATTGGCTAAAAAATACAACGGTTTTTGATACATCGGAAAATCAACCAAAAATCGGAGACTGGGCGAAACGCTCAAGGTCGCAGAGGTATAGGGAATCCCATTGCGAAAGCAACGGAACGATTGTAATATCATGGGGAACTCCGTTCCCATGACAAAAGGCAATGTTGCCAATTTGCTGCATCCGCCAATGCTCTCTTGTTTCTTACTACAGCAATAATTTATCATAGAATAAAGAATATCGTACCACCGGTTCCTCTAAAGCCATATCTTCAGCAGCTTCAGACGAAATGTTCCAGTCGTGAAAAAGTATGAGAGGACTCCACCGCGTCAAACATGAAACGAAAACCTTGACATTTTCCCCGTTGCATTTTCGTCGCCATACACACGTTTCCCTTTCAATGCTCTGATTGAAGGCTTTATTTCGTTCAAGACCGAAAGTGGGTATTAAGTTTTTTAATTGTTCGCGTATCACCTAGATTATATATGATTCTCCTCGTGTTTTCATGTTCTTTTTTCTGTTCCCTCTCTACATTTTCATTATCGTAGCGCCTCTCTGACTATAAATCTAGACGACTCGAATACCTACGTAGCTCGAATAAAAAATTCTGAGCCTCGATTGAAACTCAAAAAACTGGGTACATCGAAAAAAACGCATGAAACTCGAAATTCTGTGTGGAGCTCGTTTTTACAGCAAGAATGTGAAACGGTTAAAATTAGATCTCAGTGCAATGTAATTACAGCACCTGTGTTATAGTTGATTTCGTAGAAAGGCACTACTATTTCTGATTCCAGTGCGAAAGCACCTATCCGCATAGGGAAACTAACAGCACATACTCTGTTTCCAAAAAGATTTGGAAATAGTAGTTCCTAATTATTGCAAAATGTAGTCAAATTCTAAATGCAGATGCACGGGGCGTAACTTAGTGAAATCAAAGAAAAAGATCGGAACATCTAACTGATGTTAACATCTTTTCCTGACTCCATTTTCATGACTAAAATGTAAAATGTTTAAATGTTAAATGTTTCATGTTAAATTTTTCATGACTCCAGGATAGCAGTGAAAGATTTACATCTCGAGAAGTTTGAAAACCCACGAAGCTTACTTATAGTGTTTCCTGTTTCATTCTCCCAAGCCTCTTCTACTGTGTTATGGAAGAACGCCGTGTGAGCCCTCAGATGTCGCCAAATTGTATCCGGAAAATCACGAATTTTCTGGGAATTTTTTAAATATTGTTCCTCTGATTTTTCAGAGACTTTTGTTCGCGATTTGATCTAAATTTCCTGAAAATTTCGAAGAAAGATAATCATAAGTTTCCTCAGAAATGAGAATTTTAATGGAAGAAATTTGGCAACTCTCGAATTTTCACGGCGTTTTTCCTCAGCACGGCAGCGAACAACATTGTCCCCTGCCTCTGCCATGCAGCAACTCTGCCGCGCGGAGGAAAAAGCAGCATGATCATATTTCATGTGTTGAGAAATCTTTCCCGATTTTTTTTTTTTTTTTTTTTTTTTTTTTTTTTTTTTTTTTTTTTTTTTTTGGAGTGGGAGGCAAAAAAGCTGAATGCTTTTCTCGGAATTTCCAGCGCTTTGAAACAAATAGCGAGTGGAATTCTCTGAAAAATTAGAAGGAAAATATTCACAAGTTCTTAGAAAAGTTGTGTTTTACCGCGCGAAATTTGGGTATGTCCGAAGGCAAGCACGTAGCCGAGATATTTTTTGGGTGGTGGGGGGTGGGGACTTGGTCGAATGCGCGTTCAGGGTCTGCTCATCTCGGCATTGGGTGGGTTAGAGGGCCTTCCCCCGGAAAATTTTTGAAAGAGACCCTGTGAAGATTGCTTTTGTCCTTGCTTACAATTAGATCATCCTGAATGTTTCTTTTTTAATATCAAAATCTGGTGCAAACATCCTTCTTAACATGCCCTCTGAGGGTCTCCTCTTTCTTTTCTTCTTTTTCTCGCTTTTTGTACTTTCGGGGGAGGGGGGCTTGACTACGTGGCTGTTCCTTACTGAGGTGCTTTTTTCATTTTTATGAGAATAATGGCATTTCATCTAGTTACTTTTGTTGTAAGCGCCGCGCGCCACCGGTGTTCTTATCTCTTAATCAGATAACACTCATGTCCCGTGCTGACGAAACGGGCTCTCCCTAAATTCGTCATCGCAGCAATCCGATATTCAAATTCTTGGTGATTCACGTGAAGTCACATAGTTTAAGTTTCAATGAGGAACTGTACGGAACAGAGCTTGTGTAGCCAAATTTTAACACCCATTAACATTAAGTCTTTGTTTATTTCTAATGATTACAATCTTGTGACGATACATACGTATTTTAGAACAAGGTCTGTGTAACTTAATCATTATTCTTCCAAAATACTACCATGACAACGAAGAGAGTAGTAAGTGCATGCTGGGATGATTCTCGAGACACGTAAGAACATGTGCTAACCACTTACTGCTCTCTTCGCTATATCACGGCAGACTAGTCATTCTATTATTTTCCGGAGCGTTAGAAAACTTATCGGATCCCAGGTTTGTTTGCAGATTTTTATTTATAATATCATGAGATAATAATTTATTTATAATATCATGATATAATAATTTATTTATAATATCATGAGACAATAATTAAACGGCGTTTTTTATAATAAGAGGAAGAGCCATGGCTCATTTTGATTTTAGAAAAACTCCTCTGGAATTACATAATTGTGGAACCACGTTGTTGTGTTCGATGGCCGATCATTTTTCGAACCAAAAATGTTCACTCCACGAGTGACGGTTTGTCGAATGTATGAAAAATGTATCAAAAAATGAGACGTGTGATTGACCTATGATCGTACTATAATTATCCCTCTTTTGCAGCCCTTAAAATATCACATCGTCCTCTGTCTCGTCCACCCTAGAGTGCGGCCTACAATTGTAATCCTAAGCACTCATCTTCAAACGTGTATTCTTCATTTTTTAGTAGCATTCATTATTGTATTTTAGAATGAAACTTTGGATCTTTTTTGTACGTTCCACCTATATGTGGTTTAGTACCGTTTCCCTGATCTCGAAAAATAAGTTTGTTCAGTCAGGATGTGACACTTTACAACATACAACGTGAGACACGATTTCATTTATAATTTTTCCTATTATTTTCCAGATATCTAACTGGATAATAATCATGCAAATATCGAGTGTATTTTGTATTACATTGACTCTGCTCCTTTTTATACAAGTGGTGATTTCCAGCGATAAAAAATCAGGTAACTAATATTCATAAATATACTAACCAAGTTTCCAGAAACCTGATTCTTTAATTTAACACAATCGATGGTCCTTCTTTGGGCCACCAGTTCCAACTGAAGGTTACCTTCATCTTGTCGAATACCCCTGATTTCATTCTAAAATCATAATATTTTTGAGGTAAAACGCCCGATAAAATCGGGAGTCCACCAAATAGAATCCTCCATCCAAGATATTTTATAGAATCTAGCAACAGTTGTTTTTCTGTAAAATCCATACTTCAATTAAAATCGATAGCCAGCAGCAGTGGCGTGGCTTGCTTTGCGATGGATCGATGTAACTGTTATTTAAACCTGTTGAAAAGGATCGATAAATAGGGGGGAACACCTGAATAAATCGATTCTCTTCCACAGCTTCAAATGGGAAAATACCGATAATCGACCATTCACGCCTCGCCATTGACCAGCAGAAACCTAGAAACCTAACGAGCTTTTGCAAACCTACTCTGGGAAAGCAAAAACACTCGGCGCGCCTTCAATTTTTTGATATGCAACGCAGGCAACATTGAAGTAGCAATAATTGCATTCGGGCGTTCTCGTCACATTAATACACATTTTTGCTCGATGCTGAAGCTGTAAAGTGCTACCAGAGACAGGTTTGGAATTATATCTCAATGATAACTAAACTAATGAGTCCATTGACATTGGAGTATTCAATTTTAACAATCATTTCACTGCTGTGGATGTGTTTTCAGGTCAAGCGGAAGCTGGATTACGGTTCTCAAAAAGTGGAAAACCAACGGTAATTTGTTAGTTTATTCCTGCACTACATAATCTTGTAAGACTGAGGATGAATAGGTTTTATCCATTATCAAGGAGAAAGAAATCGCACAAAAAGTCTTCCTTGTCTTTGACTTGGTATTTGCTTTATCCGTCCTTTGTCGTTTACAGCTTGTGAACGCCCTCGGAAAAAATGTTGATAATTTTGCTGGATAGTTGCCGTCCTTTTCATTGTGAAACTACCGTAAAACACTGCTTATTCACAAATACAAAATTATTCCTTACAAGTTGTAAAAAAACAACAGCAACAGCAACAAATTAACATTAACGAGAAATATCGTGCGATTATTTTTGAATTGGAATGTTCAGGGCACTTTTAATAAATCACTTCAATGTGAAACTGAAAACGCGAGTGAGCAGACCATTTTGCAGATAAGTTGACCTTTCTTATATGTCATATGCTCATACCACATACTTATTATGATAGTAGATGGAATTGGCAGATGAAAAAGATGAACTTGATCTGAAGCACTGTATGTCACGCTATAGCGCTGATTTTTTAGTGGGATTTTTTTTCACTTCCCGTTTGCTGACAGTCCTTTAATATCTGCTCGATTCTGTAAAAAGTGTGGAAGCACGTGATTTCACCAATTATTAATACTTCGAAAGTTACTTTACAATTTAAATTTTTTTCCTGAAAAAAAAAACGTTTTTCAATTTCATTTCGAAAATCACATGGTAAAACTTTCAGAGTTTTCATTTATGCACTTTATAGCAACATATCGCTGTTCACAATACTCGTCGTCCTCCTCACGAAAAAACGTAATTTCATCTCAATGTTGCAAAATTTCTATTCGCGAAATGCCTTTTTATCAGAAGAAACTCGGGCATTTCCAACTGAAAATCCCACTGATATTTCCTCTGAACTCTCGCAAAAATCAGAAAAAAATTTTGACAAAAATTGCATAGGTATATGCTTGTTAATAATTTAATTGTTTGAGTCAATTTTGCAACAATGAAATGGAGTTATGTTCCCTCCATCTGGAAAACGACGAACTATGACAGCACTTAAGGTGATTCGATGGACGCCATATTTTGTGTCAGAACGGCATGCGAAAAATCGCATCAATGGGTTCCATTTTTCCAGCAACTCGTCATTTTTCTTCAATTTTGAGATCGCAATCCTGTTGTCAGGAGACTAAAGCACTCACTCACCAATTTTAACAGAGAAATTCAACGTAATAAAGGCGTGGTTTTTTCTAGAGAGAAAATATAGCATTTCGAGTGCGGTTTCAATATCAGTATCGAATGCGATGTTTTCTCTCTAAAAAAAACCACTCCTTAATTACGTTGAACTTCTTTGTTAAAATTGGTAAGTGGGTGCTTTAGTCTCCTGACAACAGGATTGCGATCTCAAAATTGAAGAAAAATGACGAGTAGCCGAAAAAATGGAACCAATTGATGCGATATATCGCATGCCGTTCTGACACAAAATATGGCGTCCATCGAATCACCTTAACGAGAATTTTCTACCGCACAGGCCAAATCCGTGATACGACTTTTACCGTTGATCGAAACCGACTTCAAGGAGATCGTAGAAAATGAAAACATTTTCGTCGACAAAACAGCATGGATCCGGCACGCTGTCGAGTTCTCAAGGCACACTGACACCAAAAAACCACCCGGATTCATAGCCATCGCTAGACCTCCTGGATTTGGAAAGTCAATAAACCTCTCCATGCTCCGATACTTCCTAGACTCCTCGATAAATTCATCGGAACTATTTACAGGCCTCGAAATATCAAAACCAAAACATCAGAGCTTCCGACAGCAGCACCAAAATAAATACGTTGTGTTTTACCTCGATTTCAACACCGAATCTAAACCAGGTGTCCTCGAGGTGGTAAAAAACGTACTTAAAGAACAGTCTAAGAACAATCGAAAATTATTAGACACCAAAACGCATGATGAGATCCAAAAAGTACTGAACATAACATCCCCGGAGCAGGGGCCTTTGCTGGATGCATTCTCCACCTTATGTAACGCCCTCTTGCGGGGGAAACGGAAATTTGTAGTTTTGGTGGACGATGCAGACAAACCATATCTTCCCGCTTTTGTAAAAGGCGAATTTCTTACAGATGATGGTGGTATCCTCGCTGAAGAGTCCGCCAAGGTGTTCGAATTCATGCGCACGATTTATTCGAGATTATACAGCCACAAACCAGTCTTGGGAATCATGCTTGGTACAACGCTAGTGCCAGACCTGAAAATTTCGCATAAAAATCCGATTCTGGGGGACGATTTTGCGTCGGATTTCGGATTCACAGATAACGAGGTCCAAGACCTAATTTTAGACGCTAGTTCTGATGTCGTCATATCAAATGTCCGGGTATGGTACGAAGGGTACCATTTTGGTGACAATGCTATTTACAGCCCTGTGTCTGTGGTTAGTGCCATAAACACTAGGAAATTCAAGCCCTTTGCTTGCGAGAAAGATGGAGCGCTTTTGGTCGACCTCATTAAGAAAGGAGGTTTCTATGCCCGATTACAGTTGGGTGTGCTCATGGATGACGTAGCTTTGGAACAACCGGTTCTTGGAGAACTTGACCCGTCGAAGACACGCGACAAGGAGACTATTTTCTGGACTTTCCTCGTGCATGCGGGGTTCTTAGACGTGAACCGCACAATAGAGCATGGTACTTCACATTCGGTTCGGATTCCCAATTTGGAAGTTAAGGAATATTTGAGGGAGCACGTTATCGAAACGCCACCGCACAAGGAGGAAGAATATAAGAATTTTACAGATGGGCTGCTGATTTCGAACAGGACTGACTATACAGAGTTTCAGAGCCTGTTTCAGAAATACTTTAAAAATAAATGCGTGTTTTTCGGTCCGAGCGATTTTAAAGAGCCAAAAAATGCTGCGAGGTACGCTATCGGACTGCTGGCAGGCATAACCCCGACACATAGGATGGTGCAAATAACGGACGAACAATTCTCCGATGTTTTCGTGCACACCAGGGAGCAGGACTCAGTAATTGCACTTCGTTTTATTGCCTCGAAAGGTGACAACACGAGTTGCACGCAAATTTTGATGGACGCTGACCCTCAGGACCCCACATCGGACAAACCCCAACGCCCGAAAGTTTTGAGGATGGTTTTTCCTGTTGCGGACGATATGATGGTTGGCGTTTTCTTCGAAGAGTTGGACAACGCAGGGATGGACGGAATGTTCGGAGATTATGCTAATTTTGGACAGTATGGCGATGACCAAATGGCAGGGTACGCTCAACCGTGGGGTAACCCACCTGGGATTTAAACATATCCTTTTGTTTGGAATGGACCTCTGAACAAGGGACGAATCTCAGCAATCTACTATTTTATCAAAAAAATGCAGTTAAGGCCTTCAGATGTTTCTAGAACTCCTTCGACAAATCGCAAATTTGCCGGAGGATTTGTGAATATTTTTCTCCATGTTTTTGGGAGAATTTTGTTTGTAAATAGATCTAAAATGTCTAAAAATTTCGATAAAAAATATGTATAGTGTTCATAAAAAATAATTGTTTTCTGCATGGTAATTTGTGGCAATATTGGAATGCTCATACGGCGTTCTTCCTTAGTACGACAGTATAATACTGCCGTGCCAAGGAAAAACGCCGTATGAGCCTTCAGGCGTTGCCAAATTTTCTTCGATAAAACTCAAATTCCCTGGTAAACTTATGAATATTTTTCTTCCAATTTTTCAGAGAATATTGTTTGTATTTTGATCTAAAGTTTCTGAAAATTTCAAAGAAAAACATTCTTAATTTTCCTCAAAAATAAACATTTCATCAAAGGAAATTTAGCAACTCTCGAATGTCCATACGGCGTTCTTCCTTAGCACGGCAGAATAGTGTCCTAGTCAACGCTTCATGTGAAACACAATTCGCGCATCAAAGTAACTAATATCAACTCCAAACCAATCGTAACTTTTTTTAGGCCAAGAAAAATTGAATTTCTCGCTCAAATAAAAAACTAAAGTTACTTTAATCAAATCGTGCAATGCGGTAGGCTTTTTAATACGCAGTGTTCCCGCCCCATTTTGTGTTTTTTACAAAGTATGCATTGTGCAACAGCCGAGCCGAAGCGCCGATTCTAAAATTGTTTTACGATATTTTTACACTGCAATGTCGGACACTAAAACGTTTAGTGTAGATTATTGTTTTTTTTTATGATTAGGATTATATATGAGTGACATGTCTGAATTTATGCATCAGAAACCGTTAAGATGATTCGTCAAGGTTTCCTCCGAGGTCAAACTGGCAAGCGATATATCGCATCGATTGTGTCACAAATCTTGGCAGATTTGGAATTTTTACCCCAAAAAAGGGTGATAGCGCCTTTGCGCATGAGCCTAAAGAATCATTCTCAACCATAAAATTGGCAATATTCGAAGATATGAGAGCAGAATCTGTTTTGGAAAAAACCTCGGATTCGATGTTAGTATCGATTTCTGTATCGAATACGAGTTTTTATTTATTTTTAAGACGAATTTTGCCTCCATTTCTCTGAATACTGCCAATTTTTTGGGTTAACATAATTCTTTCTGATTATGTGCAGGAGTTATCACTCTTTTTTTCTGGCGAAGAATTTAAAATTTGCCGGGATTTTTTGCATAATCGATGCGATATATCGCATGACAGTTCGACCAGTCGGACACCGTGACGAATCACCTTAAAACCTCGGTTAGAAGTTAATTTCAATAAGGTTCGGTGTTAAAATCGTGGCATACGTGAAATTTTGATGGGAAAACATGTTTTACAATTCTTAAATTCGAACCTTGTCTAGGGCCACATTGGTTTCAGGGTTTGTGGTGTACCTGGTACCTGGTGCAAACCTTTGAAAGGGTATACGAGTAGAAGAGGTATGCTGCACACTAAAGAAACGAAAACATGAAGGCATATTAAGGTGTAAAACCGCGAGAAAATTACGATTAGTACGTTCAAAAAGTCTGCAATCCCTTCATTAACGCGCAATTTGCGTTATCCATGTCACTTTCTTTCTTTCCCGCATCAGTTGGCAATTTTTCCTCCGTCGTTGGCAACTGACTTCCCTCGGAGAGAAATTTTAGAAAATCTAATCAAAACAAACGAAAAGTCTCTTAATTTTTCTCTAATCGTTTGGTTAAGATTTCAATTGTTCGGAAGCATTTTTTCGTGCCCGCATCTTGTATAAGAGAAAGAAAATAAATCTATTAAGACGACAGAAATCATTCGTGAGAATAATTAGTAACAGTTTATGAGAGTATTCATCTAAGTTATTTTTGTACGTCTTTTTTTTTTATTTTTGTGCAATTTTAGCGCCAGAGAGTCTATTGATTTATCTGTGACTTTTATCTCTTGTGCGCAAGTAACTCATCTGGAAGTTATCCCTTCAAAATTGAAAAGATAAAGAAAGTGAGCATTCTCCCATGGAAAAGTCTTAGAATATTTTGTTGTAAATGTTGTAATGTAACATAATACTTCAACTCACAAGCAGTCCACAGAGGCTTGAAAATGAACCATTTGTGTTAAACGTCGGTGTAAGTCCGCAACCACGTATCTTAGTTTGGAACGTGGCAGACTTTCTGTTGTGCTTTATTTTCTAAATCGAAAACTACTTAACAGTAATTGTTAAAAACTACCGTGATTTTTCTACTCTCTATGAAAAAAATTCAAGGAATGATTTCGATTTGTCCTACCTTTAAATATTTAATGAAATGGAAATATTTTATGCCAAGCATGTTCAATCCTTTGTGAAAGTGAAATATTTAGTTAATGTATTTAATGTATACTTGCTACATTTAGTTATTTGTAAATATTTGTTCTTACTAAGTAAATAACTTTTAAGAATTAGAATCTGCCTTACGCCTTTAGCATACTCACAAACATCGTTTTTCAGCGTTTAGCTTTCACTACTACATCAAATCATTAACAGAGCCCTGAAAAATGGTATGCCTTTCACATGATTTTGTAAATAATTCTGTGAGTTCGCAACACTAGACTCCCTCCATTTAAATGTATTGAAAATATCAGTCTCAAAAGAGGCAGGGTGCAGGCTGCCTTGGTTAGACTAATTTGTTTTCCATACTTTTAAACGGAGTTGAAAGAACACGGAAAAAAACAGGGTAGTCGACACAACTAGCGGCTGGTGAAAAACGCGCCAGCTACCGTGCGGTAGTTACGAAAGCTACCGCGGTGGAGGTCACAACGAACCCGGTAGTTACATCAACAACCTTGGATGTTGATGTAACTATCGGGTTAGTCGTGATCTCCACCGCGGTAGTTATCGTAACTACCGCACGGTAGCTGGCGCGTTTTTCACCAGCCACTGGTTGTGTCGACTACCCTGTTTTTTTCCGTGAAAAATGTGGTATCTGCAATCGAAAACGATTGATTTAAAAATTATCGTGAGAAATTTCTTTGGAGGTTTTCTTTGCCCTCTGTGAGTTAATCAATAGGAGTATTTGACACGTATAGTTTAATCTTGCCTCATTTCCTAATGAATCTAAAAATATTGTGCGAGTACCTACTTATTCGGGGAGACTGTCCATGTAAAGTTCGCCTTCCTTTTCTATGTAGCCAAGAAGCTTACCTCGGCGTGAGTACTCATTTCCTCAAATCATACGCAATGAGTCAGTTTGTTGTGCTTCTCACATAGAATCGCATTTTAAGCATATTGCCTCCGTTATTATTGAACAAAGAAGATTAGCGTTTGAAAATACAAATCTCATTATAATCGCTGTAAAATAAGTTTAAAACATGAACACACATCCACCATCTTTAATTTGCGAATTTTGAACATTTGACTAAGTATTTGACTAAAAATTTATGAAAACTGAGGGACTTCGGAAATCAAAGATAATTTGTCATCCAGAGAAAAGAACCAGGGGAAAAAAATACACCATATGAGGAATTTATTTCCGATAAAACTAAATCGTCCTACTTCTAATAACGAGAAAAAATAATAACCTCCAAATCTTTCAAATAAAACCTCAGACACCCCTGGTAAAAATTGGCTATAGGAGCTGCGATTCAAAATACCATAGGAGTTTGGTATAGCCGACTGAAGAAGGCGATAGAAAATCATATAACTGGCTGTAGAAAGTAGAAACAAGTTGGATTTTGCAATCGCTAGCGATAGCAATATTCGTCATGGGAACGTTAGCTTCTGGGATATGAAAATGTTAAGGTACAGTTCGTTTGTAGTATCTTCTGAATTGAAGGGGCTATGTAATTTTGTGTTGACATCTCTTTTTTAACATTTTTAATTATTTTCTTTGCATACAAGAAAGCTGTTATGTACCAATTATTTATTTTCGTTGAATTTTATATGGTTTTCGGAAGTTAACGCATTTAAGTTTCAGGTTCGCTTTTTCGGCGTAAAGTATACATAAGGTGTCCCAAAAGCACCGGGACTTGTTCTGTAACTTCGAAAGTAAGATAGATACAGACATGATCTTGATTTCATTTTAAAGATCAAACTCAATACCTATCGATTAAAACCAAGATCAGCTCAATCGGATAAAAATTGACCGAGTTATGGCAATTTTAAATCAGCGAGGAAAGTTTACGCCTACGGTTTTTAAGGAAGATTCTTCATCGCCGTAAATCGAAAAGTCGGCCGATAAAGTGATGCTTATTGTGTTTTTTTTATTTTCGAGGTGTCATTTATCAACATTTTGTACCATCAAACACAACAGTTGACAGTGCGTATTATTGCAAAGTACTAAAGGAGTTGAGAATGCACATTTCCCGGAAACGGTCGGACTTGAAAGCTTCGTGGATACTCCATCAAGACAATGCGCGGCCTCACACATCGAGCTTAACACGTGAATTTATGAGTAAAAATGGAGTTGAAACAATCCATCATCCCCCTAATAGCGCTCCCTGCTAAAAATGTTCCGTGTGGATGATTTCCATGAAGTTGATTTCCATGAAAAAATGACACGGAAAAATGGAACAGGAAATATTTCCATGTGGCTGATTTCCGTGTGGCTGATTTCCGTGTGGCTGATTTCCATGTGGCTTATTTCCATGAAAATTTTTCATGGAAACAAAATCATTTCCGTGAAAATTTGTCATGGAAACGAAATCATTTCCGTGACAATTTTTCATGGAAACAAAACCATTTGCATAAAAATGATCACAAGATGGTTTCAGTACCATCCAAATTGCTCATGGAAATTAAATAAATCTTAGAATCAAGACAAAGGAGACAAGCGTCCCAATGGGAGCACATGATATTTGGACCATGCAGACATGCTCAGTAAAATAGAAAATGAACAAACAACACTCACCAACTTGTTCAAATCTGTAATCCACTGGGTCAGAAAAATCCACTTGAAGACAATAAATCCAAATTTCCGATTAGAACTGGTGCAGGTACGAAGGAACTTTTGAAAACACGATGAGTGCATTGTAAAAATATCTAAAGCACTCTTTAACGTAAGAGAAAAATTAGCACCATGATTTAATAGCTGATCAATACAGAACACCACTCTCAGAAAAGCACTGACACAACACGATTTTTCAGTTTAGTTTTAGAGGAGAAAGCATTTTTCAAAAGATGCGACATCATAGATCCACAGCTTAAATAATTTCACGATTTACTACGATCATTGATGATATTAAGGTAGCCATCGATTCTCTACCCGACGTTCCTTCCACACATGACAGGAAACATCTACAGGCATAGAGCAAATGGCACTGAGCAGCAATGTACATCTGATAAGGCAAGCTCCTGGAAGTGTCGATCTGCAAAAATACAAAGCGGGAGACAGATCATCAAATTGATCTACCTATGGTTAATGGCCGTCCTTGGAGACAGACAATAAACTACGTAACAATATATCAACCACCTTTTGATAACAGAACGAATTTAAAATGAGAGCAAGACCCTTCCTTATGGAGGGAGGGCCAAGAAACATTTAAAAACGGAACATTTTACTACTGACAGGTCTGAGCCACTGAATAAAATACATTCCACCAGTCAATAAAATTTTAAATTTTGAATGTTGATGGATAACCTGATTGCCAGTATACATTGAGTTGAAACCAGTTGAAACATCTGATACGTAGAGCGGTTCATTCTTATAGAAGCTTCCGAAGTAGTTCCAGATAGGTACTTTAAAATTAGACACCGGTCAAATGTAGTACAAGAGAGGAAATGGGTGCAACAAAACTTTAATTGTCCTTGATTCTTTTGTGAAAGGTGTGAAAGTGAAAAATTATTCATTAAATTACTTACTTGAGGTGATGTGGTGATGTGAGAGATAAATATAACCTAACTTTTGTGAAGATGTTCCTAGTTCCTGGAATAATCGTTCCTTGCCGATACTTCCAGGGTTGTATTTATTATCTAAATAATTATCAGGCAAATGTTTTCAAAAGGATTAAAATACAAAAACTGGCTTTCTATAATCATTATAGCGGCTGATTTTCACTCATTTTCATACGCAACCTCGATAAAAAGGCAAAAGGCGGAACCGCGGAATGGTCCCTCGTCCAACTGTTCGATGTCCAACTCGCACTCGGAACTCCGGCCGGACCATTTTTCAATTCAATCCACCCAGCCAGCCAAGCCATGCCATGCCGTGAATTTCAAAATGAAAACTTAATTTGATCTACTTTTCATGATTCTTAACGAAGAATCGATTGTATTATCGGCGTCTACTTGACTATACTCAGTTTCATCGAACACAGGTAAATTATCTCTCTTTCACTTCTTGACGACGGACACACCTAAGTATGAGCCTGTCACCTTGTACTTACATTACACATTTGTCATGTCAAGCTATACTGATCAAGTAACTCGAGTTTAATTTTCTTTGCCGATTTACGATTCAGTCGATATGTTCTAACGAGCGAGGTAATTGTGAATTCTATTCTCTTGGTTTGCGAATGCATTTACTACCATGTGCTATTCCTAACCGTGGTTACGAAGTTGATCGAAGAGTCTACGTCTAATAAATCTATCCACTCCTTCCGTGGGAAGGGAGATAATCTTTCATCTATTTAGCATTGAAGGGAAAGACCAGAATCAAGATGGTGGATCTTCTGTTGCACTCTCTAAGTGCAAATCTTATTATCCGCGGACTTCATCACAAGTAGAAACTTCCCAACTCTTGCAGGCGAGTGCTATAGGTAGTCTGTTGGAACATCCTCATACTGCCTGCATTTTCCTTGTGTCTTCAAAAGAATCAAGGACAATTAAAGTTTTGTTGCACCCATTTCCTCTCTTGTACTACATTTGACCGGTGTCTAATTTTAAAGTACCTATCTGGAACTACTTACGAAAGCTTCTATGAGAATGAACCGCTCTACGTATCAGATGTTTCAACTCAATGTATACTGGCAATCAGGTTATCCATCAACATTCAAAATTTAAAATTTTATTGACTGGTGGAATGTATTATATTCAGTGGCTCAGACCTGTAAGTAGTAAAATGTTCCGTTTTTAAATGTTTCTTGGCCCTCCCTCCATAAGGAAGGGTCTTGCTCTCATTTTAAATTCGTTCTGTTATCAAAAGGTGGTTGATATATTGTTACGTAGTTTATTGTCTGTCTCCAAGGACGGCCATTAACCATAGGTAGATCAATTTGATGATCTGTCTCCCGCTTTGTATTTTTGCAGATCGACACTTCCAGGAGCTTGCCTTATCAGATGTACATTGCTGCTCAGTGCCATTTGCTCTATGCCTGTAGATGTTTCCTGTCATGTGTGGAAGGAACGTCGGGTAGAGAATCGATGGCTACCTTAATATCATCAATGATCGTAGTAAATCGTGAAATTATTTAAGCTGTGGATCTATGATGTCGCATCTTTTGAAAAATGCTTTCTCCTCTAAAACTAAACTGAAAAATCGTGTTGTGTCAGTGCTTTTCTGAGAGTGGTGTTCTGTATTGATCAGCTATTAAATCATGGTGCTAATTTTTCTCTTACGTTAAAGAGTGCTTTAGATATTTTTACAATGCACTCATCGTGTTTTCAAAAGTTCCTTCGTACCTGCACCAGTTCTAATCGGAAATTTGGATTCATTGTCTTCAAGTGGATTTTTCTGACCCAGTGGATTACAGACTTGAGCGAGTTGGTGAGTGTTGTTTGTTCATTTTCTATTTTATTGAGTATGTCTGCATGACAGATGTCATCCATTATTACTTTGCATGATGCATATTTAGCTGAAAGATTCTCTTTACACATGCCTAGTGGAAGATACATGTGGGTTTGGAACTGCTAACATGCGAACTTTGAAAAACTACGCTGCTATGATATAGAAAATCCTACAAGTCCAAGAAGGTCTATGCGCTGATATCAATTACATACTGACATATACCCGTCAAACAAGTTCCCATGGCTGTCATAGATGGCCTGCCCACAAAGTATGTCTGAAAGGGTGGCCCTAATTTTCATCAAGGAGCTTTGAGTACACCATGTACTTTTTAAGATTATTGTGCTTATTATTGCTTTCACTTGAGTGTAGATGTAAGTACATACTAAGCTTTTATCCATCATACATTTTGGCACATTTCTTTAATTATTGAGCTTCATAAAATTTCAGGTACTTGATTTTCAGGGGCTGAGATCGAAATCATATCATTAAAAAAAATTGGTTCCAGCAATTCTTTTCAAATTCTTTACAAAAAAATTTAGAGGATTTAATAACTGAAGATAAAAACATAACATGCTAAACACTACCTTCTGATGAAAAAGTACTTAAGTGATGACCAAAATTGAGACTTTTTTCGATCACCCTGATATGGGGATCTTCTTCACCTCCTTTCTAAACATACGCCTGAGAAGAAAAAATTTGACTGCTAATGCAACCCGCAACAATGATCGTATAGCTCTTCTTTCGGTTTTTTCCTTTTTCCCTTCATTTCCCCCCCCCCTTCCAAAACTTAAGATTTTTCCTTTTCATGTCATAATGAGCCCATAGCACAGAAGTTTTCAAAAATGATTGGAATTCACGAAATTTCATTTTATGAAGTTACATATAAAATCTTGCATCTCTGGTTTGAACCGTATACCGAGTATAATTCCTTGGCGCGCACCTTGCGGAGCGCCTTCAACATCGTAGTTATGCTTCAAACGCGACACTCACGCTCCGATGTGTAATTTTCGCATGTTGCGCATGTCGGAGCGTATGTCCAGTTTAGAATTGCCCAAAAATTGAAAGATTTTAAAGCCGCGAAATTCATGTTTAAATCCGCAATTTTTATTTCCATGCCGAACTGAGAAGGGGATTTTTAATTCCATGAAGGCTTGATGGAAATGATTTGGTTTCCGTGTGAGTTGCATGGAAGTGTTATGAGTTCCATGTCGAGCTCACAAGGAAATATTTTCATTTCCATGAAGACTTGATGGAAATGACTTGGTTTCCGTGTGAGTTGCATGGAAACGTTATGATTTCCATGTCGAGCTCACAAGGAAATGTTTTCATTTCCATGACGGCTTGATGGAAATGACTTGGTTTCCATGTTAGTTTCATGGAAACGTAATGATTTCCATGTCGAAGGACATGGAAGTCAGACGATTTCCATGAAATCACATGGAAATCGGGTCATTTCCACGTGAATCCACATGGAACATTTTTAGCAGGGCTGACTTGGCTCCATGTGATTTTTGGATGTTTCCTACGCTTAAAAAGGAGCTTCGCGGACGAAGATTCGTATCGAAGACCGAAATCCAGAATGCAATTCAAAACTTCTTCAACTCCATCCCAGAGGAAGAATTCAGGAAAACAATGTTGGATAAGTGGCAAGAGCGCATGAAAAAGTGCATCCGGTTTGATGGACGGTACTTTGAAAAGCAAAAGGAAATCATGGAAGATTCGAAGGAAAGTGGATACGAATATTAACTTTTTGAATCCTGGTAAGCGAAAAATCTTCCTAAAAACCGTAGGGGTAAACTTTCCTCACTAATTTCAAATTGTCATACTTAACTCGGTCAATTTTTATTCGATTGAGCTGATCTTGGTTTTAATCGATAGGTATTGAGTTGATCTTTAAAATGAAACCAAAATCATGTCTGCATCTATCTTACTTTTGAAGTTACAGAACCAGTCCCGGTACTTTTGGGACACCCTACGTATGATATTTTTACTCTACACATATGCCCGAATACGCATCATAAGGGACCTATGTGCTTCCTAAGTTGCCAAGTATTAATTATTGTTAGATTATTGGTCTAAAACATTCAATACAACCAGTAAAAATTAGCTGTCCCCTACGAGATTCGAACCCCCACTCCCACAAAAAGTGACACTCTCCCAGGGTCAGAACGGTATTGTAGTCATTTGAGCTATCTCGCCGCTCGGATACGGAATGAGAAAAAGAGAACAGTTAAGTGATCTCGGACGCTGAGCGGGGCTTCACAAAAGACGTCCTTGAGATTTGAACGGTTCGGCCACTGGCGTGGTAAGAGAAAACGGATCAAGCCCATTACTCTGTGAGACATTGTTTACCTATGCTGTCATGTGTCACAAGGTTCATGTCAGAATGCATTTGCGATCGCGGCAGTAAACTGGGGCAATATTTCTGTATTCATGGATTAAATCCATCAATCGAGTTCTGATTTTGGCTCATATATCCGTAACGGGTCCTCCAGAACAATTTTCCGCCTTGTACAATGGTTATTATTTCTTTATATCTATGTTTAAAATTTGAGGTGGGATAATGGCGGCTTCTCAAGAGCAACGAGGTAGGCGATCTTTTGCACCAACGAACAGAAAACTGATGGCGAAAAATAACCAATCAGAACCTCCCAAAAAAAAGAATTTGCCTAAAAACGGAACTTCGTGGTTCTGCGCAGATTTACCAGTCAGACACGACATCTTAAGGTGGAAAAAAACTCGCTGAAAGCGAATTTTAGCAATCAACACAACTTGACGTAGAGACATGATTGGCTAAAAAATACAACGGTTTTTGATACATCGGAAAATCAACCAAAAATCGGAGACTGGGCGAAACGCTCAAGGTCGCAGAGGTATAGGGAATCCCATAGCGAAAGCAACGGAACGATTGTAATATCATGGGGAACTCCGTTCCCATGACAAAAATCATACGGCCGGGCTACACGAAGCGATAAAAAATTATACAGCCGGGCTATAGTTCCTATCGCCGGGCTTTACACTTTATCGCCTGGCTGTTGCTTTTTCGCCATCGGCTATAAAAGTCTATAAGAAATTGTGTAGAAATTCGTGTGCTTTGTAAATCCTTAAGTTTGTACGGAATCACCTTAATCTTTACAAAACGCACATTATATTTTACTTTACTACATATTTTTTTTTCATCAATTAAAATAAGAATAATCCATACCGAGTGGGCAAAAATTTCAAAGTCATGAGTTGAAAAACGCTGACTCCACGAGATTAAATATCAGAGCCTAACACAAAGCGGAGCGGCGGCGCACTGGCGCCTACAAACCTAACAGGGATACTTCACGCATTGCCCAATGCGTGAAGTATCCCTGTTAGGTTTGTAGGCGCCAATGCGCGTTTCGCGCTGGCTGCCCGCCCGCCGCGCCGCGCCGCAGCTTACCACGGCGCTTGAAGCAACTATTTCACACCAGAGGTATTGCACAGTATCATATGAAATTGAAGGCGCTCCAACACATTAGGAATGGTAGGCATCCTTCAAAAGTACGGAGCTTCCTCGCAAAATAAATCAAGATACCACGGCCAGAAAAGAGAGCGGTAATCCAAAAATTCACTAAGACCTAGCATCCGTAATTAGTAACGTTTAGCATACACTTTATCGCCAGGCTGTTGTTTAATCGCCATCGGCTATAAAAGGCTATAAGAAATTGTGTTGCCGGCTATAGAAGCTATTGGAAATCTTACAGCCGGCTTTAGGTATGGTGTTTTGGAACACAGATTCTACTGGCAATTTTTACCAGGGACCGAGAGGATGCTCGATGGTGGATACCCATCTTTTCCGATGAGCGAAAAGACATTCTCGAACTTTTTGATTTTGGGGAATAAAAATGCAGGAAATCCATGTTTATATTATTCATTTTAATAAAAATAAAAATTAAAACCGTACAAATATCTAAAACACATAGGTAATTATTCATAAGTGGCTATATATTTTCTGGAAAAAGAACTCGGTACCTATTTGAAAAATAAACAAATGCAAATTCCGATTAGATTTAGATAGTTCAAAAATCCTCATGAGAGATTTCTCAGTACAAAAATGTATCGACGTGAGACAATTCTATTGTAGGTTGGAGAAGGGGTTAGGGTATGGGTTTGGGTTTGGGTAGGTTGTAAACCTTGATTCTTTTCATTCGTTTGTTGTTTTTTTTCTACTTCTAGTCACACGTTATCAAGTTAACGGTATGATCTTTTGAAGAGAAAAAGATCTGTTGAAAAAAAATTCTCCTTGGTAGATTGACTGGCTGCATTGATTGCTGCCCCAATGAATCTTTCAAAGGGATTATTAGTTTTCGTAATCACGTTTTTTCTTACCATTTTTCAATCGTCTCTTTTTAGACAATAAGTCTTCCAGTTGGAATGGCTAGCTGGGTTGATTATGCTGTAGTTTACTTCAGTTACGAAAATGATCACATCGCAAGTACGCAGGAAACTATGACACCTCCTAAATTCACGTAACAAATACCTACTTGTAAGATTCGACATCTTGCAGGAAAAGTATGAGGAAAATGCAATAGAATGTGAATCACTCTTGTCTGCTGAAATTAAGCCAATGATAGTGGGGATATGCCTCAGAACTGAACATAAAACGAATAAACTTATAAAATTACCCGAAAAATATTAAAAACAGAAAAAAATCAAAGAATGGACTGAAACACCAAATACTAAAAAATACAAAAAAAAATATACTGATAGAATTTAGATTATATACCTCATAAATATCAGAAAATATATGAACGTAGTCACAAAATATCTCTGAAGCGTCAACAAACGGACGTACCCGAGTTGGCTCCCAAACGTCCGAATCGGCTCCCGTTTGAAAAAGGGTCCCCTCCCCTAAGGGTCGAGTTGGCTCCCGTTAGAAAAAGGGTCCCCTCCCCTAAGGGTCGAGTTGGCTCCCGTTTGAAATGAGTGTATATAATCTTTGACTTATATATAAATCTATAAACTTTGAATGCGACGCCACCACGACTGCGCAAGGTGAAAACGGCAACCGCGTATTTCGATGTGGAACCAAGTCAATGTTAGCGCACTGTGGATTGATTGCTCAAAGTCGACGAACACAATTTCACAGTTTATCGTAAATTCCGACATTGCTTGAAAGAATAGAGAATAAGTTTCTTCAAAATTAAGGATGTTTTAATTTTTTGACACCTCCCCCCAATTTTTTTTTTTTTTTTTTTTTTTTTTTTTTTTTTTTTTTTTTTTAAGGATAACTAAACTGAAAAAATGAAATAGATCTAAAATTCATTTGTATTTTAAAAATGTCGAAATAATGCTTCAGAGCGGATTGGGACCATAGTGCGGCATCGAGTCTGTTATCTTCCCCCTCAATGAAGTGAAGAACGCGCACCTCTCGTTAAGCGTAAATAAACGCACGCTAACTCGACCCACCAAAAAAAGACCAATTTTCAAACGGGAGCCAACTCGACCCATAGGGGAGGGGACCCCCTTTTTCAAACGGGAGTCAACTCGACCCACCTAAAAATGGACGGGAGCCAACTCGGCAACTTCCCAACAAACTAATACAATTTAGATTATGTACCTCATCATTATCAGAAAACATTTAAACTTATT